GTTTTTTTTTTTTATCATACTCTCATTGTGGATTGAGCCCCCCTAATATGGAAATCCTAGAATTGCCCCTGGTAATTACCTCAAGGACCAGCCATTAACAATCAGGTTTTTTTTTTTCTGTGACTAACAGACTAATAAAATTTTGGTCCACTAAGCCTCTTCTCATCAACCAGCGTTTAGTCTACTATTAAGCCTAATTCTAAACTTTCATTGTCTAGAATATGCCTAAAGCTATGGCTTTGCAGTTGCATACACTCATACAAGCAGTGAGTATGAGTGTACATAAACTTGTAACAAACTTTAGTCCTGTTCTGTATTGATGAAGGTAATGGTGAAGACAAACACCGCTCTCTTAATGACCCTGATAAATCTGGATTTGTATTTCCAGCCTCTGTTCCTCCATATTTCTCCTTCTCTCACTTTTAGTGCCTCCATGGGCCATCATCGCCATCGCGATCGTAGCCGTGGTCCTCATTCTCACGTGCTGCTTTTGCATCGTTAAAAAGACCTGCCTTAAGAAGAAAAAAGGCAAGAAGGGAAAGAAAGGCAAGGGAGACATGGGAATGAAGAACATGAAGGGAGGAGAGGTATGACCACCCGACACCAGCACTCTTCACCCTTAAAGGGATAGTTCACGTCAAAATGAAATATTTATATCATACTTACTCATTCTGATGTTTCGGCTCTGTATCTCTTTCTTTCATGACACAAAATTAGATGTATTGAAAAAAATGTACAAGCTGTTCTTTTAGATAAAACGAAAGTAGATGGCAAGCTCCAAAATGATATAAAAATTCTGATAATAATGTCATACATGTGCAGCTTGAACATGTTTCTAAACATCTCCTTTTATGTCTCACAACAGAATGACTTGAGAGTTAATAAATGATGTCTAAATTTACATTTTGGGTGAACTATTCCTTTAAAACCGTATGAAGAGACAGAAAGATTAATGTTTTTCCACTTGCTAATTTCCGTCTGCTGCTAATGAGTTTAATATGGTTCGATACATATCTAATCTGAATCTTTCACTTGTTTAATGCCTTTAACAATGCAATTCAACAGCTCAAATTTGAACAACTCAGCAACGGTCTGTTTTAAAAAATGGCTGTGTTACTACCTCACATATCCTTAATATAGCTTCTAGGTCAAGCAAATGGATGGTTGGTATTTTGGAAAGATTTTTTAGCCATTTAATATTCATGGAATATAAAATATTCAGTGTTGTACGTCATTTGCTGCCTGTAAAGCAGGAAAGCTACATGAAAGATTTCCCGCCACGTCATTTCATTTGCCGTGTTCGTATAATTCGGTTTCCAAAAGAATGTATGTGCTGTTAATCTCTTGTGCTTTTGTGTTAAAAATGACACATTTTCCAGCGAATGCACAGCAGCACTAAATCTTTTTTATCTGTGCTGGAAGTATAATAGCTGAATAGCTCAAGAGTTTTGCTGTATTTGCCGTGTTGTGTCAGATCCCGCTGTGTGCTGTATGTTTGCTTGTGACAAGTTAATTTCCCTTTGGGAATCATTAAAGTTTTGCCTGTCATATAATATATAATTTTCTGTATAAAAAAACTCTCAGAAAAACTTAGATGTGCATAAGCACCATCAAGACAGGCTTATTATTTATGGGAGACCAGGGGTTATTGTAACATATTTTTTTCCGTTCGTAACCTACTGTGTACTGCATATTTATCTGCTAGATTTTTGTACAGTATAAGTGCCATTTACTGTATATGTGGCAAAAGTAACTCTTTAATAGGCTTATAATGAGAATGACTAGAATTGATATCGAATTAAATATTCATATCACTGTTAATATAAATACAAATATATAAAATAATAGTCAAAAAAATGCCTAAAGCATTTCATTTGGTACAAAAATGTAAAAAATGTAAAAAGTACAGTATTTTAACTGACTATTCATATTGATAAAGTCCAAAATCGGTAACTGCTCAGTGCTCACTATTAATTATAAATCTAAATATAGTTATACCATCTCAAATCAGGCTTATTATAGTTAACTAAAGCTAAAATAAAAAAAAGTTTTTGTTACTTGAAATAAAATAAACACTAACTATAAAAACAATTACTGATTTTAGCTAGTTGCAGAAGCAACATTTTTCATGTTCATATTTTTACTAAAAGAAACAAAACTACAACTGAAGTGATAACTAAAAAATTATGTAGCCATATTTTAACAATACCTAATAAAAATGACAAAAACACAACAAAATTATTAAAATTAAATATTTAGATGCTATGCTAAAAACATATTTTAAATATTCAATTTTTGTTCAATTATACAATTTTATTATTATTATTATTGTTATTACTAATATATATTATATAATACATATATAATTATATAATAATATTATATTATATTATAATATATAAAAAATATAATTTTATAATAATAATAATAATAACTGTTGTTAACTGACGATGTCATGATTCAATTTTATTTTTAAAAAATGTACGATTTAAGACATTTAATGGGTTACAGTTGCCCTCAGTCTCCCGTACTGTACAATAAAAGTGCCTCAAATGTGCCTCTGTTATTTGCTTCTCAGATTTCTTTGGCTAAATTTGATGTTTGTATTAGCCAATAACATAACGTGTTTATTTAAAATGTGTCATTTTTGATACATGTCCATTAAGTGTTACTTGATTTCCTCTGCTTGATTCTGTCTTCTGTGAGTTCAATCTCTCCCTCTCTCTCCATTTCTTCATCTCTCTATCCTTCCCGCTTTGTGTCTGATATGTGCTCCGTGTATCTTGACTGTGCTGGACCTGTCTTCTCACGGTAGGTGTGACATGGCTTGCAGCACCCCTCTCTGACCGCCTGGTGTAAGCTCAGACCAGGGCAGGGGAACTGGGCTATGAAAACTGGCTGGGAATGAACTCTTTGGCTTCTTCTTGAGTCTTGCAAGCTGCAGGGGTGCTGAGGTTGCTTGAGGAGCTAGTTTGGGGTTGGTTTGGGGAGGGCTCGCATTCTACCAGTTTGACATGCCACATGAACACCGGCGGGATGGGGAGTACACACAAACGAGTAGAAGGAATGTCCCTTTAGAAGTGGATGTGCATTTGGTTATGAACTTAAACTTCATCCTAGCTTACTGAGAGACACCAACACACCAATCCTCACTAACATGCATGTTGAAAGGGTACGGTTGGAGATTTGTCCTCTAAAAGCTGCTCCACCTATCGCAAATCTGTCCCTTAAATGATCTTAAGTTATGCAACATACATGTATCTTTATATATTGCTTTCTTAAAGCAGTTAACTGGCAGCAAAAGAAACCAAAGACATGTCCAGATGAGGTGAAGCAGCATTTGAGACAATGCCCAATGCATGCCCTTCATACAGGCACCAGTGAATGACCATGACTTGACTTGAGAGTAACTTTCCTGGACGACCCATTGTGTGCAAAGATGTGTGTGTGTGTGTGTGTGTGTGTGTGTGTGTGTGTGTGTGTGTGTGTGTGTGAGTGAAAATTGTTAAGGGGGATGTGTGTAATATTTTTAGTGTTCGAACTCTTAATGTAAACGATGCGGAAATACATGACTTCTGCTGAAATTTGAGAGATATTTTAAGGCAGTAACCTGAGCTATAAATGTGTGGTAGCACTCCAGAGCCGCAAAAAAAATAAAAATAAAAATAAAAAAATGGGATCCTGATGTGCTGACAACTGATTGGCTGAATGATCTCAAACCCAAAATGATAACATAATTTTTGGATGAACTATCCCTATAAGGCAGCAGATTGGGTAAAATATAAGCCCCCCAAAAAGATATCCAATTTTACATTCAAGTTTTTTTTTCCCTTTGGAAGAAGATTAATACTCACCAAGGATGCATTTATTTGAAAATACATTTTAATTTATTTTTTATTTAATCAACCAGTGGTGTGTGTTTGGGGCAACCAATAACAGATGACATGGGAAACCTGTTTGGAAACAATCATCTTTGCAATTCCACAAAGCTAGTGGTGCAGAAATTACATACTTCTCCTTTGATATCTCACTGCCCTGAGAACTGAACAGAGGTTTAATTTAGCATGTTTAAATTGTCTTAATTGTTAATAATTCCACTTAATGCGTATACATTTTACTGGTTTCTCACTAATAAAAAAGCACATCATAAATTTTGGACACATAATAGGCTAGTGTTTTTTCTTGGGGCAGTGAATAGCACCTAAAAAAGTTAGGCTGAACAGGTTTAAATTATAAACTTAAATCATAATGCAATAAACATGGTTAATCATGCTGATTTGATCACAGGGTTGTTGGTGCAAATAATTGTTTATTGTGAGTGATTGATTTCTCCTCCACCGTTTCTTATTCCATCTGCCACCTTTACTAAGATGAATGTGCTGTAACTTAGCATGACTGCCTCTGAATGCTTAATGCAAGTCTCCTGAAGTTACGTAAGAGAACCACTGCACACTTCATATTAGCAGTACCACATTATTCTGTTACATCATTAATCATCCTCCAGATTTAATGCCAGCATCTTTTTATTCACTATGTCTTGAACAATTATGAAATCAACGAGGAATATTTTCAGACTTTGCATTTTGTGGCTTGGCATGCATGAATGCATTCTATCCTGTCAGTTAAGATATAAGAAATGGTGCTTTTTTTATGTGCGTGTGTGAGAGAGAGTGTGTGTGTGTGTGTTTTTGAGTTTGCGTGTGTTTGTATTTTTTGGGGTGAGTGGTCAGGAAGGACGAATCCTCCCCCCAAGCATTTTTTGTTCTATTTAGAGACATTCTGATTCAACTCTTTTCGTTCATCTTGTATTCTTGTATTTCTTTTCTTCTCTTGTTTTTCCCAAAGCAAAAGCAGACATCTCCTTCTATGTAAGCTAATATTTGCTGTTTCACTAGCATTGTGTTTGAGGCTGCATAAATTCTTCAAAGTGCATAACAAATCTCAGAAATGCTTGATCTGATGAACAGTCGCAGCGGGTATCCGGTAATGGCAATGCTGTTGGATGTTCCCATGTGGATGAGCTTGCTGGGGTCACCAAAGCAATGTTAGTCATGTAACAGGGTTATGTACTGTGTTAACTCCATCTCTTTCAGAGGACACAAATGCTAGGCTAGCAGAGAGAAACTTTCGGTTATCAGCATAATGTCTGGTCTACTTTACCGCTTACACCGTGTCCTAACCAGTGTGATGCGATAAGATTTCAGCGACAAGCAATTTGTCTGATCACAAAAGATGCGTCACGGTTATGTGACGTGAAAAAAATCTATCAAAAACCACAACCAATCAGAACAGTCTGGGCGGAGTCTCTCCGTAAGTACACTACGCTTATAACAACATGGATGAGTACATAATCTAATTCGTAAATATTAAACCATTTTACCATTATTAAAAATACATACTGAGAGACTGATGCAATCTTTGTTATGGATACACTTGTTTGTTCACACTGAGTTCAGTTTATGTTTCTTTTAATTTATTTCAAAGCGGGTTACTGTAGGTGATTTGGTTGAAAACATTTTTTGTTATGCTGGTTGAAAGTCTTTTCACAACCCTATAACAATCACTAACGTGTTCACACCAAAAGTGAATTTAATTTAGTGCTGTCAAACGATTAAGCGCGATTAATCGCATCCAAAATTAAAGATTTGTTTACATGATATATGTGTGTACTGTGTATATTTATTATGTATAAATAAATACACACACATACAGCGTATATTTTGAAAATATGTACATGTATTTACATGTATATATTTATATTCATATAATTTATATTATATTATAAATATATTTTATATATAAACATAACATATTTTTCTTAAATATATACATGCATGTATTTATATATACATAATACATAGACATAGTACACACATACATATCATGTAAACAAAAACGTTTACTTTGGATGCAATTAATCATGATTAATCGTTTGACAGCACTAATTTAATTATTCATGTGAGTAGATTACATACAAAGTCAATTTAAAGACGTGAATAGGCGTGAGTTCGCACCGGGCGACTCGAATCACGCAAATTGGATGATGTGATTGCCGCAAACGTGCGATATACACCTTAATCGCATCTTCCACACAAGTTCAAACATTTTTAACTCGAGCGGAGAATTAGCATGATGCATTTTCACGTAAGCCAATCAGTGAAGAGCTTACTGACACGTCCGGTTTGACACATCCTGTTGTATCAGAAAATGATTTTTTCTTTTAAAGGGGTCATATGATGCGATTTCAATTTTTCCTTTCCCCACTGGATGCAACGAGTGCCTCGTTTATAATGGGTTTTCATGTTTTTGAATCATCGCTCCGGCCGGACAGGGCATCATCACAATGTGGTGAGGGGCGTAACTTTTTCGTCTCACACTTGAGGTATTCGGCCAATCACAACCCATTGGATAGCTGGCCAATCAGAGCACACCTCGCTTTTCAGACCAATGAGCT